TTTATTTTTTTATTTTTTTATTTTTTTATTTTTTTATTTTTTTATTTTTTTATTTTTTTATTTTTTTATTTTTTTATTTTTTTATTTTTTTATTTCTTTTTAATTTTTTATTTTTTTATTTTTTTATTTTTTTATTTTTTTATTTTTTTATTTTTTTATTTTTTTATTTTTTTATTTCTTTTTAATTTTTTATTTTTTATTTTTTATTTCTTTTTAATTTTTTTTATTTTTTATTTTTTATTTTTTTTATTTTTATTTTTTTACTTTTTTAATTTTTGTTTTTATTTTTTTTACTTTTATTTTTTTTATTTTTTATTTTTTTATTTTAGTATTTGCTTATTTTTAACACTCTTTCCACCAACTGGCTCAGTGCTGCTTAGACTTTTTTTGTAGTCGGGGATCTCTGCTCCCTTTAGAAACAGCATTTAACACAGCGTTTGGCTGCTGCACAAGCTAAATGCATAACCTGCCTTGCCAGATGCTCTTTACTAGCTGGTAAATAATTCTGTACTAGTTAGAGCCCTTTCTTTCAGGGGCAAATAAATTCTGAACAAGAGAGAACAAGTTATTTAGCTGCCTGTGAGTTGTATTCTTGGCATAGGATCTGAGCAACCTCTAATCACTCCTTGATTAAGCAGGACTCTCTTCCCTGCTCTTTTCCTTTTATTATGAGGGATTCTTCATCTAAACTTAAAATCCTGGTTAATGGGCTGGGGCAGGTACAGTATCTACTGCTGGTTGGAACATTTTTATTTTCTATAGTATTTGTGATGTTTTATCCAGAGCTCTCAATATTTACTGTGAAGCTTACAAAGTTGTTTGCCTTTTCTTGCTTGGTTTCTTTAACCACCTGCAGAGATGCAGTAAGAAGAGAGCTTTCTCTTTGGAAAAGCCATTCCCAGTCAAATCCCAATTTTTCAGCCCAGGGACATTTCTGGCTTTGCAATTTCTTCTCCTTGGCTTTTTGGGATGTTATTTTACTACATGTGGCTGCTTTTGCTCCTGTAGGAGCCCAGTATTTGTCCTGCAGACTTGTATCTGCCTGAGCTGCTCCTTGCAGGCAGCATGGACTGAGCTTCTCCAGAGCTCCAGCTCTGCTTTCCACATGCGGCTCACGTTGCTGCTCCGAGGTAAAGCAGCCATTCCCCTCCTGGTTATCCCTCCTGAGGTGTTGCCTCCTCTCAGAGTTTGCTCTGGAACTTTCATTGACTCCCCAGGTTGGGAATTCCGTAGTATGGGGAGTGGGATGCTGGGTTCCTCTTAAGGGCCCAAGGTGCCTCATTGCAGAGGAGGAACAACGATGCAGAACAGATGTGTGTTTGCAAAGACAAGAATCTTAGAATTGCCAGAGCAGCCTTATTTTTCTCCTCCCTTAGAGGAACAATAAAAGTAGATTGTTGTTAACTGGGTTCACACATGCTGCCTTGTTTTTTTCTTCAGTATTTTTATCCTATTTGGATAATTATTTCAATTTCATAGCTGAAAAGCAGCACCTTGTTCATTTGCCCTCTCTAGGGTACACGTGTGCCAGCTGGGCCTTGGTAGGAAATAGGTTCTGTTTCAGGATAGCTCTCTTAAAAAGGCCAAAACTATGAAATTCATACTGGACATTCTCTGCTTGCTGCTAGAGTTCCCAATATGTTGCTGCCATAAAACAATTTCACTAAGGAGTAGTGGTGTGTAATCCTCAGGCTTTTCTCCAGACTGTTGGATTAACTTGGATCTCATGGAAAAATACGACAGTGTGGGCAATGTGGTTGTAGAAGACATTGATGTAAAAGTATCTGACAAGTTTCTCGGGTGTTGACCTTGCAGTTGTGTTTGGACAAGATAACATGTTGAGAAACGCTGCCCTCTTGCCCTTTTTTAACCTCTCCTGGACTGTCTCTTACAGTATGTGGGAATAAATGTAAATAAGAGTCACCTGGAGTTTCGAAATTAAGGACTTGCCTTTGGTTATCAGTCTATCGGGTCTCATTAGCGTTAACAGCAGTTCTCTCAGCAGTGTTCTTGTCCTGAAATGGTCTTTAAGACGAATCTTTGTGTCACGTGGTTACAATTCTTGCAGTTTTGTTGGTGTTGACACCTAAAATAGGGCCTCTGAACCATTATGTTAATGAACAAGGTGAAAAACTAGTTTGTACTCACAGGCGACTCAATTGTAGGGCAATAACTTGTATTAAGTGACTATTTATATAAGAAAACTGATTACTCAAAAAGCCATTTTTTATTAAGCTTAAGAAACACTTTATGAGAATCAAGCTGTTCCTGCTTTTCCACACATGGAGTTTTGTTTGTTTGCTTTCCCTCTTGCAGGGAGCTAAAATCACCACTGACTTAATAGATGCCATCGCACTAAAACTAGAGCAGTTGCCCTTCCAGCAGAGAATTCCTCCATCCTGCCCCCTGCACAACTAAAGTTATAGTGTTTTATGCACCTAGGCCCTTTGCCTGTGATGAGCTTTGGTCTCCCTCTCAACTTGCCCCTCTTGCTTAGGTGGGACCGCGTGCGTGGTGACCGGGCAGCCCTTTGACACGGCCAAGGTGAAGATGCAGACGTTCCCCGAGATGTACAAGGGCGTCGTGGACTGTTTCGTGAAGACCTACAAGCAGGTGGGACTCCGAGGCTTCTACAAAGGGACCACCCCGGCCCTCGTAGCCAACATCGCCGAGAACTCCGTTCTCTTCATGTGCTATGGATTTTGCCAGCAAATTGTGAGGAAAATTGTCGGGGTGGACAGGAAGACAAAACTCAGGTTAGTAACAAAAATCAGGCTTGTCTTTTTTTTATATATATATATTTTATATATATATATAATGTGTGTGTATATATTTTTTTCAAGACAAACTTGATATGTGTGTGTGTATACATATGTATGTAACTATATGTGCGTGTATATATACATATGTATACATACACACACACACAGAATAAATGTGACTGCTATTTGTATATGTTGTTCTAATGCATCTGAGATGCCCCAGGCCTCTCCCTTACTCAGTATGCTGCGTAGTATGTTCTGGGACATTGAGTTTTATGCCCTATTTTATACTCTTTATTTTTTAAGGTATGGCATCTAACTCCAGTAGAGCAGTCTGGAGTCACTGCAGCTGGCTGGTTTGGGTAGTCAGCTTAAATGGAATATCCAAGAGCTGAAATACTTCCCCAAAGGGAGTGAGCGTTGCAACACCTCTAAAGTTGGCATTCCCCCTACTCCATGTTCTGACTTTCCAGGGTAGATATTGGTGCCTCTCACTGGGAGACAAGCTGAAGGGAAAGGACCTTTTTTTTTCCCTATTTTTTTTACCCTGTAGGTTCTTTGGGTTTGTTTGCCTTTGCTGCTGTAAAGACTTGAACATAATGGCCCCGGTGGCTGGACTGAGGCTCAGTTTAGCCCGGTGTGTGTCCACAGCCCTGTCAACAGCTGGGGTCCCCTCGGGCCAGGACAGCAGGGAGGATCCATCTGATATTTCCTCCGAGTCGGCTGCCAGCCTTAGTTCAGTTTAGTTCCGAGGATTCATCAGTCACCACATGATCAGTTTAGTCGGTGGCCTTAGTGGCTCTGGCCTGGGGACATCCTCCCTGTCCTAGCCCCCTTGCCTGGGAATAACACAGGCCTGAAGCACCTTCTCCTGCTTCCCCTTAGCAGCTTTGCTCTGGCTTCAGCCCCTGCCAGCTCTGCGTGCAGTGCCTGCAAGCTGGGGTTCTGGCTCCTCTGTCTCTGCTGTAACACAAATAGCTACAGAAGTGCAAGACAGGTATCCAAAAGTGACACCACACACCTTGTGTCGGGTGTTAAGATGTGCTGCACTCTAGTCTCAAGCTTGGCAGGAGGCCATATGAGGTGATGAGGCAGCAGGTTATATCAGCTGCTTCCCCTTTGCCTTTTTCACCATTATTTTCTCTCATTTGAGGTAGAATTGTTATCAACTTTTTTATTGCTGTTGTAGATCAGGAATTTTTAGCTGGCTTAACTTGTAGACCCAGCCTTTCCTTTTCTCCCACGGAAAGGTGGGATGCAGCCCTGTGGACCGCAGGCCGCTTCGTTACCTCCTGCGGGTCCCTCGGAGCAGCCCGCAGACTTGGCAGAGCACCCAGGATCACTTCTTGGAAACCAGGGCTTGAGGAGTGCTGGGTGCCTGTGTGTGATCCAGATAGCTGGGATAGTGCCGGAAATTTCCCAACAGTGCACACCAGCGTGTTGCCATCCTCAGAGCAGGACACAGAATGGGATACATTGAGTGTCCAGCAGTAGCCAGGGCCTCTGACACCCACTGCTTGTCAAACCCAGCCTGAGTGTCCAGTGCTTTCAACTCTCACTGTTGCCTCTGAGCAGCAAGGCAGGCAGGACTGCATTGGGACCAAACACTAGAGCATTTAGTTCTCCTGGAAGGGTTTCTCCCTCATCCCTACGCTCTTCTGGATCATCCTGGGGGTCCCCTTTGAGAGAGGCACCGTCGTCGTGCCGGCCCTAGGGAAACTGCCTAAGGGAAACTGCCCCGCTCGCTTAGCCCGAAGCACAAAAGGTGCACGGCCACCAGCCGAGCTGAATGTGACCGTGCTCCCAGCCGTGTTTAAGCAATACCTTTCTTCCATACACACTATTCTTTGGTCCCTGGGATTTCTCAAAACCAGCTACAGTATCTTGCTTTTGCTCTAAGCTGCTTGTCAGGGATATGTTTAAGTTGCTTGGAAATAGACGTGTGCAGCCTCCCTGTGCTAAGGGATGCCTTGCTGCGTGTGTGAACCTTGAAAAACAGTGACAAAGACAATTACAAAAGAGGAGTTTTTGCAGTTTAAAGGAAAACATGTCACCAAGATGTGAGACAGGAAGACAGGTGGGAAGAGAAGTGCTAAATTCCATTATTCTTTAAATGTCTCTTTAATTCAACCAAACTTATTGGCTTTCATGCTAAAGTCTAAACTGAGGCAATTATTATCCCTGCTCACCTCAGTCGGACTTTCTCAGTACGTGACTAATCTACTCCAACAGATTGTTTGCTTTGAAAAACAAGATAAATATTCTTATAGAAACATCACCATAAAGTAAAACATTTTTTTTTCTTCCTGTGCTGTGATGGTCAAAACTTTTCCACTGAGAATAATGCTGAATGAGGCATTTCCATTGAGATGGAACCTGCACAGGCTCCAAGACTTCTCACTTCTGCAGTGAAGTTCAGTACGTTAAAGACCAACACCTGGACAGTAAATCAAGTTGAACTGTTGCATGTGGAATTAAAAACATCAAGAAAAGCAAAGAAAGATGTGACTTATGCCTTAGTCCTTTATGTACATTGCTCAGAGTCTATAGGACGTGGAAATTATGATGTTTTTTGACACGAAGAGAAAGGATTCTGTGCGCTCTTTAGTGCATGGTTGAAGGGCACCTCTTCCATCCCAAGTCTTCAGTGTGTGACCTTCCTGCCTGGCTCTTACCCATAGCCTAATGCCTGCAGGAAACAGCACACCCTGTGACATACGTATTTCTGAGTCTGCTCCAGCAGCTTTCAGCTTAGCAGGTTTCACCCCGGATGCCCCTTGTGCACCAAGCCGGGTGCTCCAGCAGGGCTGTGCAAGCAGAGCTGCAGTTTCTGTAGCTATCTCAGCTTCACGACGCTCCCCGAGGTGAGAAGCAGCTTTAATCCTTCTCTGATCCTGCAGCTGCTCAGAACTGCTGCGCACGGGGTCATCCCATGGGAGAGGCTCCACTTTTGTACCACGACACCACGAGCTGCAGCGAGAGCCTTTAAGCACATCATAAGCAGGGCAATTCTGGCATACTAAAATTTTGGTGTGCAGTATCACAAGCTGTGCAGTTTTGGGAGTTTATGGCAGGACTGTGCTGGTCCTGACAGCTTATCAGTCCAGTCTTTGCAATATGTGAAAAATCACAGAATAAGTTCACAGTATTATAAGTTTATAATTACAGTTATATATATATAACTATATATATAGTGTGTGTGTATATATATACTATATATATAGTTACTATAGTAACTATAATAGTTATAATATTTGTAATTATACCTATTATAAGTTTATAATGCTGTGAGCTAATGCAGGCTGCAGGGCTATCCTGTTTGGTGCTTATCTCTCTGCCCCAGCTGGGTCACACAGTTGCCTTCATGAAAGCAGCTCATCTACAACACAGGTGATAACAATCATCTAGTGTGCCTTGGTTTCAGACTCCTAGCATCTTCCACCAGAAAATCCACGTTAATAGTGGATTTGAGAACATAAAGATCTGTATAAGGCAATTCCTGCCCATGCTTTCCTTTTGGAAGCAATTAGTCCCCCAAAGCTGCCCAGTAAAACAAAGAATCACAGAATATTCAAGGTTGGAAGGGACCTCTAGAGATCACCCAGTTCAACCTTCCTGCTCCAGCAGGGACACCCAGAGCACAGGGCACAGGGCGGCATCCAGGCGGGTTTGGGAGATCTCCAGAGAAGGAGACTCCACAGCCTCCCTGGGCAGCCTGTGCCAGGGCTCTGTCACCCTCACAGGGAAGAAGTTCCTCCTCACATGGAGATGGAACCTCCTATGTTTCAGCTTATGCCCATTACCCCTCGTCCTGTCGCTGGCCACCAGTGAAAACAGCCTGTCCCCTTCCTCTCTGCATTCTCCCTTCCTGAACTTATACATGTTAATTATGAGGGGGATCCCCTCTCAGCCTTCTCTTCTCCAGACAGCTCTAAAGAGCTCTTTCTAAAGAGCTTTCTCTTTAGAAAGCTCTAAAGAAATCCTGATTGAAGCCCAGAAGGGAAGGCTGTGACTATGTTCACTCGGCTGCCACCACTGAAATCTAGGAGAAAGGGTAAGGGTTGCAATACAATCCCTCCCATTGGCACCCAGGGAGCTATCCGAGCTGCAGGGGAAGATGTACTTAGTTTTTCCATCCCCGTGGGCCGCGCGGCCGCCCTCTCCCTCCGTCGGGAGCGTCCCCGGGTCGGCCGAGGCCGCCGGGCGCCGCTTCCCGCCGCCGCTCTCTCCCGCAGCGACCTGCAGAGCGCCGCCGCCGGCTCCTTCGCCTCCGCCTTCGCCACCCTCGTGCTGTGCCCCACCGAGCTGGTCAAGTGCCGCCTGCAGGCCATGCACGAGATGCAGCTCTCGGGAAGGGTGCTGCACGGACACAGGTAAGCGCAGCCCGCTCCGCAATCGCCGCTCTTGTTGCTTATTCCATAACCTGGCCCGTGCGACGTGTCACGAGTCGCTAACGGCCTCGCTCTCTTCCTCAGCACAGTGTGGGCAGTGGTGAAGGGCGTGCTCCAAAAGGACGGGCCCTTCGGCTTTTACCGCGGCCTGTCGAGCACTTTGCTGCGGGAGGTGCCCGGGTATTTCTTCTTCTTCGGAGGCTACGAGCTGAGCCGCACGTTCTTCGCCTCCGGGAGGCCGAAGGAGGAGCTGGGTAGGTCGGGCTCCCGTCGCTCCGCGCGGAAGCGGCAGCCTCCCCACAGCCCCCAGCCGGGCGCCGTGGGGAGAAGTGTGTGCAGGGAGGCACTGCTGAAAAGTTACCCCTTGGGGAATGGAGAGCAAATACATATTATGTTGCTAGCAGCAGTATTAAAATTGACTTAAATATCTGGCACTCCGTTAACACTCAGCACAGAGCTACTTTATTTCAGCAGCTATTTACATTGAGAGTGATGTAGAAGCCTTGGGCTTCTCTTGAGGACGTGTAAATACATGCTGATCTTTATAGAAAGTTGTAACTTGTCTAACCATTAAATATCTCTACAATTACGCTAAGATAACACTAAAGCTCCAAAATGAAACTTTCAGAAGTCGGGAGATAGCAGAATAAAGATTGCCCGTCTCCTTTGGAAAGATTTAACGATAACCCTTTGTCTTGCTGGGAGTTAATGTGTCAACTGCCTGTTTTCTGGTCTCCCTTGTTGCCAAACACTTGCACACATCCCACCTGCAATGCAAAACGAAGCTGCATCACGAGAAATAACTGACCGTGCAGTAATTTCACTGTAGCAAACGTCTGTAGGGGATGAGTGTCACTATTGACGTGACTCTAGAGCTTCTCACCAGGAGCTCTGGAAAGTGGTCGTACCTGAAAGGGTGAGTGGTGTTAGAAGTCTGGAGTGCATTCATTAACTGGATTAGCACAGCCTGTAGCTGACAGACACTCCTTACAACCTTTGAGCTTCTGGTCCACTTGGAACTAAGTGGCTTAAAATTAACCTGAAGGTTTGGGGCAGGGAGGCAGAAGCTGCTCCTCTGCCATGTGCAGGTTCCTCTGCAGTCTCTCTCACACTTCTGTAGAAGAAATACACTGCCACTTATACAGTGTAATGTTTCGTGCTGTTTATATATAAAAATGTCAACTTTTTCCTTTACCATAGGTCCCATTCCTTTAATACTAAGTGGAGGCTTTGGAGGCAGCCTCTTGTGGATTGCTGTGTATCCCGTGGACTGTGTCAAATCCAGGATTCAGGTTCTTTCAATGGCTGGAAAACAGGCTGGTTTCATGGGAACATTTGCAAGCATTGTTAGGAATGAAGGTGAGTGTGCTCATATCCACAGAATCTGTAGGGCTGCAGATTCAAACTTAGTCCCTTCAGTGCTGAAAAGCAGTCAAGAGGTCTAGTCTATTGATAACATTTTTTTGAGAGAAAAACCAAAACAGAACTTCTAAGTAATTCTTAGGGGAGATATTGATGCTGCTTATGTTCTGGCAACTAAGAAGTGACCCTGCAGTGTTCGACTGTAGCTTTCAGGTCAGCAGAGAAGTCACTTAAAGCTAGCAAAAACTTTGTTTGCGTTAAAAGCAAATAGATGAATGAACTCCATTTACCTGTGACTAACCCTAAACATTAAATAAATGGGAACTGTTTAAGTTCAGTGGAATGTTTTTTTTCCCATAGAAATTAATAGAGGACCGACCAAGGGACCTCTGGTGAATATGACCTAGCCCTGACAACCATGAGCATCCCCCTAAGCGTCTCATATTTGGAAGACATCACAAATGTGGGTGCAAGAAGGTTAATGGCAACAGATACAAGTTGTGGCCTGGTTCTTGGGCAGATGTTCATCATGCTGGCAAGAATTTGAGCTTGCAGCTGTGCAGGAGATCAGCAGCTCTGCTGCTTTTCTTTCTGTCTCCGCAGTTCTGGTGTGGCTGCTGTGAACTGCAGCAGGGGAGCCCACTGAAGGACCCTGTCACAGCCAAGATCAGGCTTCTAACATACACTAGACATAACATCAAATAGTTAAGCTCATGTTACAACTCTTGGTATTGCTTCTATATCTGGAATATCCAGAAATGCTCTAAAACCCTGAGCAGTTAGGAGTGAGTTCAGGTGTGGGTCCCTCTAAGCAGTCACTTCACTGCCCTTCCGAAATGAAAGCGCAGAAGTTGCTGCTGATCTGCATTTTAGCACCTACATGTTACTAACCCGACCTCCTTTTGTTTTCAGGTGTGTTTGCCCTCTACTCTGGACTAAAGCCAACCATGATCCGTGCATTCCTGGCCAACGGGGCTCTGTTCCTGGCCTATGAGTACAGCCGGAAACTCATGATGAACCAAATAGAATCCTACTGATCCCAGCCAGCAAGCCAGGAACAACCCTTCCAAATGAACAAAAACCTCTAGGTTGTATCAGGGTCTGAATAGAGCCAAATCAGCGACCTTATTTTTAAGGAACTCAGCTCCAGTTTAAAAATTTATTACACTTTAAATTCAAGTGATTTTTTTTTTTTTGAGACATGATGTCTCTGTGTTCCTTGAGTTGGACTTGCAGAACTCCATCTGCATCCTGCAGATACTGCACTAGGTACCCTACAGGCCAGGAAGATCCATCCCACCTGAGATGGTGTTCAACAGACTTATCTGTGGTGACCTGGTGGGTTTCATGCAACGTGCAGTGATAGGCTCTGATTCATTTAAGACAAAGCACTGTCTTAAAAGTCTATGCAGTGGTGGGGAAGTTTTCCAGTTGTTGCTGGCAAGCATCTGTGACTCGAACGACCTGCAGTCTTGTCTAGCCTCACTGAGCGTGACTTGTATCTGACCCTCAGATAGACCCAGGACGTTCTCGTTGGCTTCCTCCTGCCCTGTGACTTCCCAAAGCCAACACCGTGAGCTCATGCCTTGTGTACCCTGTCCCCGAGGAGGGGCTGGTAAAAGCAGAAAGTCTCCATTTCCCACCCCCATCCACACACTTCTACCACATGACCTAAAGCTGAGACCTGTGCTAGAGATAACACTTGAAGTTAGGGCCGTTTAAGGACTCTGTAGCATTTGTCACAAGTGTTGCAGGTCTCTACGTTCTCCTAAGAGGTGCTGGAACCTGTTAAACATCCGTGAGTTAAACACTTGCACAAAGAGGGACTGCTGGGAATAGCTCTTGGCTCAAGGCCTGATGCTGTCACCTTGCAGTGACCGGCTCCTGGTGGAGCCCTGCTGCCCTGGCCAGGCCCGACTGCGGGAGGGACAGGAGGCTGAGGAGGAGCAGGAGGGACAGGAGGCTGAGGAGGAGCAGGAGGAGGCCGAGGAGGCAGCGCTGGGGCCTCTGGGGAGGCCGCCCTCGCCCCAGGCAGGGCTGCTGGCTCCTTCCCGTGATCCAACGTGCAGCCCAAGGCCACCCGTCAGCACCACTGCCTGCAGTGATAGGGTGACACCCGCTTGTAGGTGCCACCTGCACTCTGAGGCAGCAGCCTTTGCCTTTTGTGCTTCTATAGTTCTGTGTTTATCCCAGGGGAAAAAAAAAAAAAAGAAGATGTGATGTTGAAGGAGCTCTCCACAGCAGCGCAGGCGCTCGGGGCTGTGTGGAGGGTGGTGGCTCTGGGCTCGCACCAGCCACCGTGGGCTCCCTGCCCACCGAGCTCTTGGAGAGCTCTTTGCCCCCCGGGATCATCTGAGCTGCAAGCTCGAAAGACCCGAGTTCCTCCCCAGCAGAGAGCAGCTCACGGAAACTCGAGCCAGCGCAGCCGTGGCTCGCAACTGCTGCTGCAATTTATTTTTTGATAACCCAGAAAGAAGAAAAAGCTGCAGACAGAGATGCCAGGACAGCCCCCTGCCTGCAGCAAAACTGGAGTTCACTTCAGTTGGCTTTTCCACTAACCTCCTTGGCAGCGCTCTAACCTCCTGCTAAAACCTGCTCGGTCTCCGCAGTCCTGCGGGCCCTTCCCCAAGTGCAACACGAACTGCTGGTTTCATGTTGAACACCCCTGACCACAGTTGGGAGCAGCGCGTGGCTCAAGCCCCCACGGTGGCTCTCGCGCCGCGTTACCTTGCGTGGCCGCGGCGGCCCTCAAGGCCGGGACAGGGCGCAGAGTCGCTGCCACAGGGGCTTGTGCCACGCGTTCAAACCCGACAGGTACCAAGGGGGTGTTCGGAGGTGCTAGACTTCTTCCCAAACTCACCTGATCGAGTTGTACATGTTTTCATAGCTATGAAAAGGTAACAACTGAATGCATAGCAGTGAAATATTCCAATCTAGTTCTTAGATTCGTCTTGGCTTTCATTTTTTAAAGCTGACAGTTGGAATTTTTAATACAAAAGTTGAGGCTTCAAGAGAAGCAGGATTGTTAAGACTGAGCTTACAGGTTGAAGAGAACGTGTTTTAGACCTTGAAGTTGAGCTAAGCAGTAACATGCAGGGGTCACAGCTGCTGAGGCTGTGGACCTTGGTCAGCTGTTTGGTGTTCTGCTCCCTGAAACTTTGCTAGTGTTGGGATAAGAACTCACAGGAATAAAGTTTGATTTAACTAACCAAGTCCCTGCTTGCTGTTTACAAATGGAGCCTGACACACTTTGTGTGGCTGAAAAAAACAAAGACAGGTAGTTTAGTTAAAGCCTGAATCACCATCCTTCTGGACTCCAAGGAACTTCCCAGAGCAGTCACTGAATCCCTGAAGCTCTCGGGAACGAGCAGGACAAGGGCACACAAGGTGCTGTGACATCCTGTAGCGTAGCTTTGTTAGACCTGTTTCTAGTACTAGTATTAGGTCTTAACTAGGTATCATGTTGATCAAACATCAGTTGTAAGAACAAGTTGCTTGCTAGAAGAACACCAGGCACTCTACCTAGGTGAAGCCTTTGTCAGGTCATCTGAATTCTACTCTAAAAAGAGTGAAGTTCTTCACTCCCTTTATGAGTGAGGAATGAAAGGACTCACGGCAAGTTCTCCGATGAGGCTGCAGCCACAGCTTTCTCCACCGCTTTGAAACAGGTCAGCAGCAGCAAAGCCACCACGGGAGGGAGAAGCCAAGACGTGGTTCCCATCTCCTACCCCCAAGGCCTTTGGTGCTGGTGAAAAGGGCTGCTCCTGGCAGGTGTCTGTTGCTCCTTACGGCTCATGCAGTGGCCGCAGTCTGAAGCCAGGTCTCCTGAATTGCAGGAGAAGGAAGAGCAGGGCTTGAGCCTTAGCAGCCCCTCAGAGCCACCCTTGCCTCCGAGGCTGCAGGTGCCCCCCAAGTGAGCAGGAGGGCAGCTGGGCTCAGGGCAGCCCCAGCCCCAAGCCAGAGGGACCCTTGTCACCAGCCTCTCCCCCAAGGGACCCTGGTCACGAGCCTCTGCCCACTGCAGTCAAACAGTGTCCCAAGCCCGGGCCTGCACAGGCAGGAGCGGCTCCTTCCTCCTGCTCCCTTGCCCTCTAGTGGCCACAGCTTCCTTCTCCTGCACAAACGGATTAATTCTCCCTTTCCTTTGGCAGCAGCTTCCCCATCACCTCTTGGCCTTGAGGGGCAGCAGGGGGTAGCTCCGTGGTCAGCAGTGACAGCCGGGGCTGTGCTGCAGTGACTGCTCTGAGGGAGTTCCTGCAAGAAAGAGCTTGGCAGAAGGGAGCCACAAGCAGGAAGGCCTTGACCTACTGCAGCAGGACAAGCAAAGCGGCCAGGATGGACGGCAGCAAGAACAGGGTTTGTCCCCTTCCCCGAGACGGGGCAAAGGCAGGGGATCTTACCACCTCCTCCAGTCACCCAGTAGGAGAAGGTAGAGCCAGACTCTTCTCGGACACAGAAGCAGCAAGATGCAACTACAGCCAGAAGCTGTAGCATGAAACTCCAGCCAGGAAAGAGGGATAAGGCCATTAAGCGCTGTGAACAGCGATTACAGGGCAGGGCTGAAAGCCACAATGAGCCGGGCCTGGATCTCCATAAGTCTCTTCCATTTAGGTGCCCAAGAAGTGACCCAGACTCACTGTCCCACATGCAAAACTGTGGAACATTTAAGGCAATTCTGGTCCTGTAAAGCCAACTTCCACAGCCGAGGGCTTCTATCACACCTACTCACATAGTGGGATACAGTTTTAACACCCTAGCCCCAAAACCTAGGCGAGGGGGGACAGCAGCAGCCAGGCTTAAGCCTAGCCAAGTCCTTCACAGCAAGTATTTACAGTGTGGGCCAGAGAGCTCAGCCACCCCACGGCCTGGGACCCGGGCAAGGCCCAGCTCAGCGCTCGCTCAGGCTTGCTACAGCAGCCCTGCAGGGCTCAGCACTGAGGCTGGGCGAGGGGAGAACTGCCAGCCTGCACTGGGAGGCAGCCCCTGCTGCCCCAGCCTGCTGCCCCACAGCTCCCAGGCCACCTACCACCAGGTACTACCCCAGGTAGGGCATGAATCACTACCAGGAGGCTCCAAGGCACACAAGAAGAGGGAGCCGGCCTGTGCTAGATGCTATTTCTCCTTCCCATCCTTCTACTGACCTGTGAAAAACCCTCCTGCAGAGGGAAGGCGTCTGAGACTCTTCCTGGTGTGTCGTGCAGACCATTCTCCACCCATGGTCAGAGGGTGGGAGAGGCTTCTTCCTTACAGGCAGACATGTCAGATTAATAAAGGAACCAGCAGCTCTCCGTTACCTGCATACAAGAGCTCTAACAGCTCATTAACACTGCAGCAGAACTAAGTAGTCCAGGACGCTGCCCCTCTGCACAACAGAGCTTCATGTCATAGTTTATTTGTGAAAGAGTATCTACACAGAAATATATTAAGTACACTGGAATACAACTGCTTCGATTCATACTGAAAATGCAAGACAGTCTTCAGGAATGAAGATAAGTTTAAGTGCTTCCCTTCTTGCAGCCTTCCCTTAAGGTTCTGTGAAATTCACCTCCACAGCAAACTTCTCGCTGTAGATTTTCCATGTTTTAGACTTGTGAGGGTTGTCCAGCTCATTTCTGGGAAGGTAGAGTCTGAAACACAAGATTCAATAACGTGTTTTGCAGTCTGAGATAGTCTTGGTCTTTAAATAAACCAAGGGAAACTTCACGTTAAGCTCTGAAGCATCAACTACAGCCCTAGATCGATAACCCAGACAACCACTAGCCACAGCTGCAGGGGACTCCTTGCCTAACTACTCCAAGAAACACAGAATCACAGGATGGTTGAGGTTGGAAGGGACCTCTAGAGACCATCTAGTCCAACCCCCTGCTCCAGCAGGGACACCCAGAGCACGGGGCACAGGGCGGCATCCAGGCGGGTTTGGGAGATCTCCAGAGAAGGAGACTCCACAACATCTGTGGGCAGCCTGTTCCAGGGCTCTGGCACCCTCACAGGGAAGAAGTTCTTCCCCACGCGGAGATGGGGCTGCCTGTGTTGCAACTTATACCCACTGCCCTTATTCTGTCACAAGGAATCTGACTCCCCCCTTGCCCCTCATGCCCCATTCTGTTCCTTCCAGAGCCCCAACACATCTGCAAGACTCTTACTGAGCTAAAGTGTCTTTTCAGCTAAATGCCTCTCACAGCAAACACAGGGAAGGCCACTTTGCGTGCGATTCAGTATTCAGACTCGGTCATACTCCCCACTGCCAGCACTTTCTGGATTTGTCCATAGGGATGACTTCACTGCAACCACTGGCCTGCGGTGGCCGCACTGGAGGCCGGCCGGGCTGCCCCTGCACTGCGCCCAGCCTGCGGCCTCGCAGCCCTGCGCTCCGTCAGCCTGCCTGGACTCGGCCCCTGCCCTGCAGGCTGCATCCCCGCCTCAGCACGGAGCCCGCAGTTAGGGACACCGGCTCACCACCAGCCCTCTCAGGGGTCAAGATGGGAAGTGAATCATTTCCCTGTTCCCTCATACAAGTTATCAGATCCCGGTACAAAGGACTGACCTGGTAAAAAGGAGAGAGCTCCAGTTTCTGCATTTC